AGTCATCTTTGATGTTACTACTGTAATTGTTTTGAGGTGCCACCAACTGCACCCATAGAAGACAGTGAACATAACGATAAAGGTGTTCTGACTGCACCACCAACTGAGCAGTTCTCCTGTCCCTATCCCTCTCCTGGGGCCCCCCTGTTCCTTGAAACACAACAATTTTGAAATGAGGCCAATGAATAACTCTCCGATGGCCTTTAAGAATTCAGGTGAAAGGAAGAGTTGCATATCTCTCACTTTAAATCAAAAGCTAAAAATGATTCCGTTTAGGATGACATGCATGTCAAAAGCCAAGAGGGGCTGAAATTTAGGCCTCTTGCACTAAACAGTTAGCCAAGTAGTGAATGCAAAGGAAAAATTCTTGAGGAAATTAAAAGTGCTACTCTAGCGAACACATGAATGATAAGAAAGCTAAACAGCTTTATTGCTGATCTGGAGAAACTTTGAGTGGTCTGGTTAGGATATCAAACCAGCAACAACATTCCCTTAAGCCAAATCCTAATCCAGAGCAAGGTCCTAATTCTCTTCAATTCTATGAAGGCTGAGAGGAAGATGCAGAAGAAAAGCTGGAAGCTAGCAGAGGTTGGTTCATGAGATTTAAGGAAGGAAGGAAGCCATCTCTGTAACATAAAAGTGCAAGGTGATACAGCAAGTGCTGATGTATAAGCTGCAGCAAGTTATCCAGAAGATCTAGCTGAGACTATTGATGAGTGTAGCTACACAAAATGACAAATTTTCAATGTAGACAAAACAGCTTCCCACTGGAAGAAGATTATGGCCATCTAGGACTTTCATAGCTAGAGAGGAGAAGTCAATGCTTGGCTTCAAAGCTTCAAGGGACAGGCTGACTCTCTTGTTAGGGGATAATGAAACTGATGATATAAATTGAAGCCAATGCTCATTTACCATTCCAAAAATCCTAGGGCCCTTAAGAATTACGCTAAATTGGTTGGGTGCAGGGGCTCATGCCTGTAATCCCAGCACTTTGCGAGGCCGAGGTGGGTAGATCACCTGAAGTCAGGAGTTCAAGACCAGCCTGCCCAACATGGTGAAACCCTGTCTCTACTAAAGATACAAAAAATTAGCAGGGCATGGTGACGGGTGCCTGTAATCCTACCTACTCGGGAGGCTGAGGCAGGAGAATCACTTGAACCCAGGTGGCGGCAGTGAGCCAAGAGAGGCGAGAAAATCACTTGAATCCAGGAGGCAGCACTGAGCCAAGACTGTGCCACTGCACTTCAGCCTGAGTGACAAGAGCAAAACACCATCTCACAAAAAAAAAAAAAAAAAAAAAGAAAAGAATTATGCTAAGTCTTCTGTGCCTATGCTCTATAAGTGGCACAACAAAGCCTGGATGACAGCACATCTGTTTATAGCATGGTTCACTGAATATTTTACGCCTGCCATTAAGACCTACTACTCAGAAAAGATTCCTTTCAAAATATTACTGCTCCTTGGCAACACACCTGGTCATCCAAGAGCTCTGATGATGAACAAGGAGATTCATGTTGTTTTCATGACTGCTAACACAACACCCATTCTGTAGCCCATGTAACAAAAAGCAATTTCAACTCTTAAGTCTCATTATTTAAGATACACATTTTGTAAGGCTATGGATGCCAGAGACAGTGATTCCTCTGATGAATCTGGGGCAAAGTTACTTGAAATCCTTCTGGAAAGGATTTACTATTTTAGGTGTCATTAAATATTTGCTTTATTGCAGTTGTGTGGAATGGGTCTCACAATATCTTTGAGGTATATCTGTACTGAATGGGTAACAGAAAAAGGTAGTTATAAATACCAGCTATAAGTATATAAGTTATAAATACTTATATATATAACTTACATATAAGTTATAAATACCAGTTATAAGTATATACCAACATAACTGGTTACAAAAACAAAGCATGTAGTAGTACTTATTTTGATATGAATAGTTTTGTATATACATATAAGTTAAATATTTCTGTTTTCATGTTCTCTCTTATTCCTTTATCATCTAATATAACACATTGTCAAAAGTAATTAACTTTTATTTCTCAGTATTTAAATTACAGGGTACCAAGGGTGAGAAGAATGAATATCAGCAAAGGACAATAAAGGGATTCTGTTCCCTCTTCTAGGAAAGGGATTAGTGTGTTTTTGCTTGTAGTGTGTTTTCGATTGTACATTTAAATGGCTGTATGATATTTGGTGGAAGCATGACTTTCTTAATATTAACATCATTATTTGGACAATAAGTCTATTTTGAGGAGATGTACATCAGTGCCAACTTGGCAAGAGGTGGACTGTGGTGGCTTTTGAATGTGTCAGTTTGGTTAGGTTGAACTACATTTCCCAGAATTCCTTTCCTGTCTGTTTCTGGTTAGGATGGCACATAAGGGAGATTTTTTTGTGGAAAATTTGGAGGGGTAAAGTGAAGCAGCAGCCATTTCTAGTTCACACATCTTGTCACTTATCTGCTGGCTTGCCTTGTGGTGTGAGGCAATAGCTAGGACTGCATCTGCTCCACCTTCCCGTGAATTCTCCTTCAGCAGCTCTGACTCCTGGAGTAGGTGCAGGTGTTTAGATCCATGACAAAGGGCACAGGGTTTCTACAAGACATCCACAGAAGCAACAAGACAGAAGCAACAAGAACTGATATGGGCCAGGTGTGGTGGCTCATGCCTGTAATCTCAGCACTTTGAGAGGCCAAGGTGGGAGGACTGCTTGAGCTCAGGAGTTCAAGACCAGCCTGGGCAACATAGTGAGACCTCGTCTCTACTGAAAATCAAAAAAATTAGTTGAGCATGGCAGTGTGTATCTGTAGTCCTACCTACTTGGGAGGCTGAGGTGGGAGGATCACTTGAGCCCTGGAGATCAAGGCTGCAGTGAGCTAAGATCACACCACTGCACTGTAGTCTGGGTGATAAAGTGAGACTCTGGAAAAACAAACACACATACACACAAACAAACAAACAAACAAACAAACAAACCTGATGTGGGTTTAAGCTTACCTTCCTGAACTCCAGCTCTCGCTTATGGGTTCTAGCTCATTGTTGTCTCTGCCACTTCACATTCATCTTCCCTTACCAACTGCCTGCTCTGTGAACTCAAGCTCCTCCATCAGATATAAGGTCAACATCCTTACAGAGATTGCTCAACCAGCCTCAGGTAAAGTCCCAGTGACAAATCCGTTCCTATATGCAGTTTGTCTTCATTATGTGTGGATTCTAAACTTACAAATTCACCTACTCACTAAAATTTATTTGTAACTCCAAAATCCATACTCATGGCATTTTTGCCGTTATTTGCAAAATGCACATATGCAGAATGGTGAAAAATTTGAGTCATTCATTCTTAATTAAGGCTGAACAAGGTCATGCCCTGCCTTCTTGTTTCAGTTCTTACATTGTGAACACGTATCCTTTTTATAGACTATTTAGTGCCACAGTTTTCTATTTTTGTGCCTTTTTTTGGTTTCACTGTTTACAATAGCCCCCAAATGTAGTGCTAAGTGCTGTGTAGTGTTGCTAAGCACAAGAAGGCTGTGTTATGCCTTATGGAGAAAATATGTGTTAGGTAAGCTTCATCGAGGCCTGAGTTACACTGCTGCTGGCCATGAGCTCAATGTTAATGAATCAACAGTATATATTAAATAAGGTGTCATTAAACAAAAACACACATAAACAAGTTTACATATTGATTGGTTGACAAAAATGTGACCAGAAGCTCACAGGAACCTGGCCTTGTATTTCATCTAGGAGCTATGATTATTTGCTAATTCAGTGTTTTTAGTGACTTCGCATTATATAACTAGCATAAATAATGAAAATTGATTGTATGATATTTAAGAACACACACATATATACATATGTGCATAAGTATGTGTGTGTATATGTCTATCTCTATGTGTATGTATAGTAGCATATACATCTTCTAGTGGTTCTGTCTCTGTGGTTGAACCCTGGCTTATAGACTTATAAAATTCAGCTATAATGATAGTGAAACTCAGTTGAAGTTTAGGTATTAATGATAGTGACGTTTAATTGTAACAGTAGTTCTATACCTAGAATCTGAACTATTCTCCAAATTATTTTCTTCAAATATGTACACATATTTTCAACTTTAAGTACTCAGTGATTAGCTATCACTTACGATTGTTAACATAAAGTAGTTTGTGTTCCAAACTTTTACCCATTCTCCAGCACCCATGGCCAGAGCAAACCCATTTCTGCTATCAGTTATAACAAGATGCCACTGCTCACTTGGTTGAGAACAGTGAAAGTTGAAACCAGAAAGCTTACAAATGTCATTCTCTCTTCTTATCTAGTGACTCCAATACAAAGACTTTAGGCTGGTAATCAATGCTATCCTTAAACTTCCTAGAGTCCAACTGCTCCTGACGTGCTCACCTCTTCACCTCTTCCCTTTCAATAGGCAGTCCAGTCTTGCCTTTGTTCCCTGTGAACATCTTCAGATCCATTCCTGCTGTTGCTCCTTAAATTGCTCTGTCTCCTTTGCATAGGATGCTATCTTGCATGTTTTCCCACAGTCCAGAGTCTGTCTGTCTAACACAAGAAGCAACTAAACTCTTTACATGAAATATTTTTTTCTAAAGTCTCTAGGACACACAACATCATTGCCTGCCTGTCATATCATTGAGTTGGAACTCAGAGACACATATCCTATGAAAGATCCTGTATGTCTGCCCAATCCTTGTTGTTTAGGTATCCATGTATGTATGTCTTATCTCTCTAAGTTTCAACAGCAGTTGTCTATACTACTCTTGAATTGTTTCACCTATTCATCTTACCGAGTTTGTTGGTAAGCATTTTAAGTTGCTTAACAAATATGTGATAGAGGATTCTACCCATGCATAATATTACCAATAATTCATCCAACAACTCAAAGACAAAAACAAACTAATTCACAAAATAGAATTCTACATTTCATTAGCATATTTTTCACCTTGATAAACAACAGCAATCATATATCTCTTATCAAACACATACCTGCTGAGACTCGGGGGCAATCAGGTAGCATGGACTCCACTGATGTGTCTAATGGTTCTGAGCTAGAGACCCAATTACAACAGTTCTGCAACGTAATAGAGACAATATTGTTGAAATTCAATTTAAGCCAAGACCAAATGCTGAGGGAGAGATTAATTTATCCTATGAAATCAACCACTAGACTGTATTCAATTTATTTTTCAATACACTTAACATTTTTTTCTTACGTAAACAGTCAGTAATTATTCATAATTAACATGACTGTGAAAAAGGTTTTTTTGTTTGTTTTACAATTCAGCAAATCATCTGTGCTGATATTAAGATGACATGTAAGGGCAGGGCATGGTGGCTTGCGCCTATAATCCCAGCACTTTGGGGGGAGGTCGAGGCGGGCAGATCACTTGGGGTCAGGAGTTCGAGACCAGCCTGGCCAACATGGTGAAACTCCTTCTGTACTAAAAATACAAAAATTAGCTGGGCGTGGTGGCGCATGCCTGTAGTCCCAGCTACTTGGGAGGCTGAGGCAGGAGAATGGCTTGAACCCAGGAGGCAAAGGTTGCAGTGAGCTGAAATCACTCTATTGCACTCCAGCCCGGGTGCCAGAGGGAGACCCCGTCTCAAAAAATAAATAAAATAAGATGACAGGTAACCTTCCATGAACCATGATGCAATATATTTCCAAGTGAAGTTTAGATGGCCAAGCAGTAAACAAATAAAGGTATTATAATTAAGGGAAAATAAAAGAAGTATCCATTTTTAACTTTTAGATTAAAATAAATATTAATATGAACACAAGAAAGAATAGCCAATTTTTAAACTATATTCTTTGCGTAATACCAGAATAAATGAATTTTGTATTTACTCCTCAAAATCTGACCCATATAAAAATACTATTTTTTAATTTTTACTTTTACCTGCTTTAATGAAGGCTGTATCAAAATAGTTATAAAGAATCACCATCTGGTGAGTTGTAGCTGTGTGTCTATGGACACAAAGCCTCCAATATTAAAAATTAGGTAATTTTTAATAGTAACGATGTAAGGTAATGATTTACAATTCAGAGAAATAAAATAATCTATATTCCTTCTATACATTTTAAGTCTGTATTTGAAGTCTGGCTAAAAATATGTGATTATCATCACATGGTTTTTAAAACATTTCTCAACACACAGACACATACACACTCACACACACACACACAATGAATTTCCAGACAGATTTTTTTTTAAAGAAATCATCCCATCAATCATTTTGGAAAAATCGGTGATTGCTATTTTGGTAAACAAGCATGTATTGTGTATTTTTAGATGCTTGCTGCCCTGGTTGTGCACCATGGAATCCGTCCTCACTGTGGAAAGATCCTTGACTGGTAGATCAAGTGTCTTATTGTATTTCCTTAATTCATTCTGTCTGGAAGAAGATGTCAGCTGTGTTGCAGTGAGGAGAGAATTTCAAAGGCCCCAGTCCCCACCAATAAAGGCCGAGGAATGGCTTTTGAATAGATTTGTCAAGGCAACCCTACTGTTCTGGGACCAGGGAGAGCAGGAATAACATAAAGGAAGGGTTGCTGTATGAGATTAGAAAGTGAAGTTCACAAAGCATGGCAGATTTTTGTAAGAAACAGTAGATCAATGAAACTATTGAACTGTGTAGGAAAAAAACATGAAAACAAACATAACATGTAGTAATGTTCTTAAATGCTTTCTCTCTTTTTACATTTAAAATAGATAAAATATTAGTATTTTTCATGCATTACAAAAGCTTGGTGGTTTAAAATGGATACATATTCTATAATGTGCTCTCCTAATCTTAATTAGCAGTTGAATGCAAAACTACACAATGTAAGGGTAGAAATTATAAAAGGAATAGGGTTTTAGAAGATATTTCATACATTTGAAATAAGTAAAATTAATATTACCATTGATATAACACCACATCAGAGAGTTCTAGATAATGCAGAAGATTAGCACACAATTAGCCAGCTTTTATATACAATGTGACACTTGCTTGTAAGAAATAAGTATTCTCCAAAGCAGTGTCAAGATATGTAAATGGATGATTTGTTTTATCATTCATCACAGCCCCTAATAAATTCAAAAATCATGACTTCTATAGGTACTAAAAATAGGCTCCCAATGATACAGGGAGATAGCTTCAATGAAGAATGACTTTCTCTTTCTCTCTCTCTTTTTTTTAAACAATTCCGTCTTTTCAATGACAGCAATTAGCACTACCGACAGACAGGCAGCGATTAGGTACTGTATGTATTTTAATTATTATTCATCCAACTAGTACCTCCAAATCTGATGAAAGTCAGCTATTAACCAGGTGATATGTCGGTCTTCCTACTGTTCACCTACACTTCACATACGTAAAGCTACGTCTTATAGGATTTTCTAGTATTTACAAGTGATGGCACATTACAATATGCAGACGATTAATCATTTTCTAAATTGTTACCTTAAAAAGCTGAACAACATGAACTTTTGTCCAGTTTGCTCAGATCACCTTTAATTCAAACACTTAAAGCAAAATATAGGTTAACATTTTATGTTTGTGAAATTTCAGTTTTTATCTGGCCACGTGTTTAAGGCTTTGATCTCTCATAAAAACTGGACAGAAGTTGAACACCCTATAGTTAAAGTGAGTATGTCCAAAAGTTCTCTGCAATGACAAAGTACCTGTGTACAACTACACAGATTTGATATGGCCATTTCAGAGTGTGTGTGTGTATGTGTGTGTGTGTGTGTGTGTGTGCAGGGGCATGTGGCATTTTTACCCCATTGGGAAAATTATGTAGAAAAAAGGGCAAAACAAGTTAAATGTTTGTTATATGATAGAGTATAATGAAATAAAATAACATAAACATATGCAAAGAAAGACATGCAGTTATATCTAAATTCAATTTGTCTGAAATTTTATTTTATCAAATCTAACTCCCTATTCTGAAATGTGTTACTATAGTTTAGAAGTCAAGTCTCTTTCGATGTTTTTCTAATACTTACGTATCCCTTTTTTCAATGCCTCACTTTGTCCCTATTCCAATTTTTAGTTGAGATGAACACTACCAAAGTGTTACAGGCAGCAACGCAGGCAGCCCACTAGGAAAGCCCTACCTAAATTCAAAACATGCTGGAGAGGGTTAGCAGCCCCTGACATTTATTCTCAGGTCCCCTGAATAGGCAACAAGGTATGCTGAACTCAAGGTATCAATAGTGCCATGCTTGAGACTCAGATGCAGCCTCCCCTAGTTCCAACAAACAAGCATAGAGAAAGAAGTCCTTGGCCAGGGCAGGCAGATAGGGACAGACTACATGACTAATGTTTCTCTGGATCTGAAGGAAAAAGAGAAAAATAGGTAATGTAGAAAGTATTTCTTTAAGCTAAGTGTTATCAGTTTAAACATTTTTTTTTTACCCTAAAATGATGATCCTATAGATTTTTGTGGTTGTAAATTTTCCTTTTTGTAATATCCAAAATTTGGGGCGCTATCGATATGGATTAGAAATGCCTACAGGCCACAGTGCTGAGTGATTCCCTTTGACATTTGAACCAAGGTCAACAATATTTCAGAGTAGGTTTGAAATAATTTTTTTAAATAAAAAGATTACAATTTAGTATATTATATTTAAAGAGAAAAGTAGGTAGTAGCTATTCCTGTGCAAGGTGTTTGGAGGTATTTGGAGATGCTTACTGCCTTGGTTGAAGCCAGATTTTTATGCATTTTTATTGCATATGTCTGAATTGTAAATCACCATTGCTTTAAAGGTTGATTTTTTAATGTGAAACGTTTTGTGTCCTCGGACAAATACAACTATGGTTCACTAGGTCAAGTTTCTAAGGCCCTACACTCAGAGTTGAATGGTGATGGAAAGGGTTTACAACTATTACATAGAATCGTACATCTGGTGTGGCTGGAGAATTTCAGAGGCCAGGGGAATGTTGGGAAACATTTGCCCACTCAGCCTAGACAGTCCTGGGGCTTGAAGTAAGAAGTTCCTCAGGAGCTGCCTTCATTTACCTTTTACCTCTCCTCAAGAGGCTGGCTTAGCATCTATGCGTGGTCTTTTAGTTCAGAATAGGTTTCACTTGGAGTAATTGCTCAAAGTAGTACTACTCTTTGACTTTCTTTCTTTTTTTTTTTGAGATGGAGCTTTTGCTCTGTTGGTCAGGCTGGAGTGCAATGGCGTGATCTCAGCTCACTGCAACCTCCACCTCCTGGGTTCAAGTGATTCTCCTGCCTCAGCCTCCTGAGTAGCTGGGATTATGGGTACCTGATACTATGCCTGGCTAATTTTTGTATTTTTAGTAGAAACAAAGTTTTGCCATGTTGGCCAGGCTGGTCTCGAACTCTTGATCTTAGGTGATCCACCTGTCTCGGCCTCCCAAAGTGTTGGGATTAGAGGTGTGAGCCACTGTGCCCGGCCTGACCTTCCTTCTTTACAGGAAACTGTTACTAATATTTATAAATTACACAAGTAATACAATAATATATTTCTTTTTTTTTGACGGAGTCTCGCTCTGTCCCCCAGGCTGGAGTGCAGTGGCCGGATCTCAGCTCACTGCAAGCTCCGCCTCCCGGGTTCACGCCATTCTCCTGCCTCAGCCTCCCGAGTAGCTGAGACTACAGGCGCCCGCCACCTCGCCCGGCTAGTTTTTTGTATTTTTTAGTAGAGACGGGGTTTCACCGTGTTAGCCAGGATGGTCTCGATCTCCTGACCTTGTGATCCGCCCGTCTCGGCCTCCCAAAGTGCTGGGATTAGTATATTTCTTAACCTTTGTTCTGTATGCTAAATTGGTAGGTTTAAAAATTAGCTTTTTAAAAAATGAATGCATAACATCAGTAACTTCATCACATCCCTTCTTATTGTTACAAATTTAGGACTTTCAAGTGCATTTTTGTTACATGGATATACTACAGCATAGTGGTAAAGTCTGGGCTTTTAGTGTAACTGTCACCCAAACAGTGTACATCGTACCCAATAGATAAGTTCTCATCCTTCATCTCCCACCTTCCATCTTTTGAAGTCTCCAATGTCTATTATTCTACTTTGTATGTCCGTATGTACCCATTGTTTAGCTCCCACTGAGAAGTGAGAACATGTGGTATTTGACTTTCTGTCTCTGAGTGATTTCAGTTAAGATAATGGCCTCCAGTTCCATCCATGTTGCTGCAAGATATAATTTCATTCATTTTTATGGCCGAGTAGTATTCCAAAGTATGTATCTCTATATATCTATATACATATATTTAGATATGTACCACATTTTCTCTATCCAGTCATCCTTTGATGGATGCTTAGGTTGATTCCAAGCCTTTGCTATCATGAAGAGTGCTGCGATAAACATACCAGTGTAGATGTCTTTTTGGTAAAATGACTTCTTTTGCTTTGGGTAGATACCCAGTAGTGACATGGCTAGATCAAATAGTACTTCTTTCTTTAGCTCTTTGAGAAATCTCCATACTGTTTTCCACAGAGGCTGTACTAATTTACATTCCCACCAACAGTGTATAATAATCCCCATTCTGATTGGTGTGAGATGGTATCTCATTTTGGTTTTAATTTGCATTTCTCTGATGATGGGTGATGTCGAGCATTTTTTTCATATGTTTGTTGGCCACTTATACGTATCACATTAATTTAAACATACTTACAAAACAAAAAACTTTCCAACACCCATGCTTAAGACAATCGCCCTTTCCTGTAATCCAGGTTTGTTTCTCTTCATTATTTCAAGGAGTCTTGCAGAGAGGATAGGAAATAAGAAAGGAGAAAGAAAAGGGGAGGAAGTTTCATCCTGAGAGTTCGGAAACACTGGACTCTTATATTGCCAAACCACACTGTAATCTTCTCTATAAGAGGTCACACATTTAGGTGGGTTCCTACAAGGATACCTGTCATACACTTTTACAGTCTCTCTTTTTGTTCTCGTTTTGGAGAAGATCACTGAACAGGGGTAATTTCAAAGCCCCATCAGGAATGCTCTAATAAGTTAAATCTCTGAGATATTACAGTGTTTTCAATAATAACACATCTCATTTCTTTATATAGTACCATTTGCTTTTCAAAGAGCTTTCATCCTTGATTATCACCTTTGCTTCTCACAATATTTCATGAAGTAGATGGAAAAGGAATTACTGTCTCCAATTCAATTATGAAACGGACCCAAAAAGATGGAGTGGCTTTTCCAAGATTATAAATCTTAGCAAACTAGCTGGTACATGCTAGATTCTTAATTATTGATTTACCTAGCCAGAGTCATTATCAAAATTTAGTTCTCCCATATGCTTGTTCTGAATTACTTCCAGTATGTCACCCTGTTTCCTTTTTGTAAGATATTTTGAATAGGCAAACCATTCATAAAACAAAAGATGAATATAGTTTATGTGTTTTATATTATTTGGGAGTGAGACTGTAACAACAGTGACAGCTCTAACTTACCGAACTTTTTTAAAGTGCCAAGAACTGTGCTATTTCTTTACATATGTTATTTTCCATCACGTTTGCAAGGTAGGTATTATAGTTTACAGATGAGAAAATCGAATCTCAAAGAGATAAAATAACTTGCTTCAAACTACAGAGTTATGTAAGTGATTGAGCTGGGATATCAATTTTGATAGGTCAAAATACAAAACTCTTCAAATTGCTTCCCTAAGGCTTAATTGAGGGAACTGAAAGAACTATCCAAGAACTAGGGCATTTATAAAATTTTATAAATTTTACAACAGCTATGCTTGCAAAGAAATTAATGGCAGCCTTGATTAAATTATGATGAATTCAACTACTGTCTAGTCAGTTAGATGGAAGCTACACAGATTAATATATTCTGACTTTTGAAAGGAACACCTAATCCAGCCTTAGTTAGAAATACTTAAAAAGTAAACCTAAATAAATTTTGTTATATTTGTCATCAGGAATGAAAAACTCATGAGCCAGGATGTTTTTAGTTTGAGCCAAGTATCGAATTCCATACTAGTTATGTGTGTGGGGAAAAGTTACTAACAGCTCATTTATTAACCTTACTATTTATATAATGCTGGGAGCTTTCTGTGTCATCATCAAACACCTACATGTTAGAAAAGATTTAAAAAACCCATCTTTATATGTTTATAGTATTAAGAGGACTGGAATAAAAATATTTTAGACTTTTGCATGATGAAAGTACTTTTTCTAATGCAGAAAAACAAGTGGTAACAGACTGGTGATAATATAACGCTACTATGAAATTATATAGCCTAATTTTTCTGTCTCTTCAGACATTAACTCTGTGGTCCTTACAGTGCACCATGAAGGCTGGTAGAATTTACCCACCACACAGTCCTATGTGTATCAGCTGAAGGGCCACCAGGTATTCTATCAAGAAAAACTAGAAGAAAACCAAGAAGGTCAATCAACTCATTCATACTATATAAGTAAATGATTTGATTAAACAATTACTATGGCATGGGTGGCTGATGCCAACTGCTTATAATATCAGAAAGATAAATAAAAATAAAAGAAAATTTCAGCTGGATATTTGTCATAGGAATAAAAAATATAACAGGCTGAAAGTTAAAAAATAATAATAATGGGAGCGTATTCAATGAATCCTTGTTAGTTTTCAGGTTCACCAGCCCTTAGGAAGTATGAAAAGAAGCTTTCTTAGCCTAAGGCTGAACCATGGCTAGCCCCTGGGTTTCTCTTAGCTCAAGGGTCTGGCATAACAGCATTTCAGCTTTTTTCTTCTCTTCCCTCTACTGGATGTAGTCAGCCAATCCATTTAAGAGTGGCACACACTGACTGCCTTTCAAGAAGAAAAGGAGACCAAGTGTACCTTATGCGTCGTTCTTGTAACTAAGCGGCACCAATGCTAAATAGCTGGTGGAAAAATTAAGCATCAGGGAATAAGAATCTCTTAATTCCATGACCTTTTTCAGCACAAGTTCCCACCTTAGACTGAACACTATACACACAGTGTTCTATAGAAAACCAAAAAGAAGGGAGGGGGGTTTCAAAAATATTGGTTCTTCACACGGGTTTTCTATTATTATTTTAAGCATGTCTAACATTTTCTATTTCCTCGCAATGTTCTGCCTCTAGAAAGGGAGTCTGAGGATGGGAGGTGTTACAGGTTGGTGGGGGCTGAAGACATAAAGGCTCACACCCATTCATCTCAGCACTAAAAAAAAAAAAAAAAAACAAGTCTCACCTCTCTCATCCATTCTCGAATCGTTTTGCCAGCTTCTTGATGCCACACATTGTGAACAGAGTCTGTCAATGCCACAGCAGTTACCTTATTTTTTACATCTGCTTCTCGTTGAATCATCTGTTTTAAAAAAGGAAAATAAAATATTGGCTATAATTGTTTTTCCTACTGGGTGCAGCCTGCTTAGTCAGAGATAACAACAATATTATATTAAAAATGAAAAAGCAATATGTATCTCTGGTTCAAAGTTACTCTTTTTTGCATTGAACACATACCCTATTCTTGTCCAGAGATGTGAAAAGACCTAACATTTTCCTTTAAAAAGATAATACCACTTAAGTCTTAGAACTACGCAGCTCTATTATTTTCCATGTGGTTTGACAATTCGAGGATTAAAGGGATCACAGGGGAATCCCTGAGGGTTTCTTTTACAAGTTTCTTCCACCACTTCCTGTTTCAGTGCTTCAGGGAAGTTAGTACCCAGGGTTCACTGTTAGCTACTTAGGACCAACTTCTACTAGTTTTCAGTAGATGGCACATCAGTAAAGAAAGATATCTTGCTTTGACTTTTCCAATTTAGTAATTCCTTGGTGTTTTAAATGCCCACAAAGATATTTTTCATTCAAAGCCCATTAATATAATTTTGCTTTCTAACGTATTTCTTTATGTTGGCAAACTATTACATTTTATAATAACTTCTTCCTATAGAATGCTATTTCTACAAAACAAAACAGCTTCTAAAAATAACAAAAAAAGATTTGCTTGGCTTGGAGATACCGATGGATTCATCAGTGGTCTGCCAGATAAAGAAATTAAAAGCGAAAATTTCTACATCAGAAGAACTGAAAAAAGGTTTTAATCTACTACACTAGTGGCCCTAATTTGGTGTAACAAATGTAAGAAAGCTTTGAAAATTACAGTTAAAATATCATAAATAGTAACCTTGCATTTCATAATAATGTTCTCTTTTTGCTTCAAGTGTCTTTTCTCCCTCTAAATTCTTTTATTGAAAAAAAGAACAATTTATCATTTGCTGTTAATTTCTATGAATTGTCTATCAAAAATATAATAGTGCACTTCAAAAAAGAGAATTCTGAATGGCGATGAAAGTGCATACAGAGAAAGAATATTGCACACCATGCTTATGATACCAAAGGATGCCTGTTGGCATTCTGAATTTAAAATGTCTCTCTCTCTCTTAAATTTTTTTAAGCCCAGCATATGCACATGATGTCTCAATGAATACTACCTAATGGGAACCCAACTCACTGTTAATGCTACCTCACGAACACTTCTGCACCTCAACTCTTTGTGCCCTGTGTTTTCTGCTTATATAATGTAAAAATCTTAAAATCAATATTGGTTACCAACATCATGATATTACTGCAAAAATTTATCTTGCAATACCAATAATACTTTTCAAAGCATAAAATAATACTCGAAATTAATACTTCATATGAATTATTAAGTAGTATGCTACCTTCTTCTGGATTTTATTTTACAAATACACTCTCATTGGATCACACTGGCACTAGCATATAAAAGTTTAAACCAACATTAGATGATAAAACCCCAAATTCCACAACAGTGAATCCATCTGGCTTATGAAGAAATTATACGTCCTTATTCTCATTTTCTAAATAGTAACACTTTTAGAGATCTAGACCAATTGTTGCTGAAGTACAAAATAAGAACATGCTTTCTGGTATTCTAAGGATATGCTTATGTTTTAAAATATTTGACCTGGATTTTGTTGTGGCTGTTGTTAACATATGCAGATTTACTTAAGACAGCATCTGAAGACACTAAATCTTGAGAGCCATTTGTGAAATGAGATACAATGAAGTAATGAATTGGTGAGGAGTTAGTGTTAAAATAGAAAACCTGGGGATTAAAATTCTACAAGCTGGAAAAATACAGAGTTTTTAGAGGGACTACCAGAGGAAAATATCTGTAGTCTGTTTGTCTTTCTGGCTGACGTTTCATACAGTGGAAGTGATAACACGCAATTTATCATCACATCACACCGTCACATTATAATCCAATATGATTCTCTCTTACACTGTTATAGCATTTTACACTTTAAAAATCACTTTCATATTTTATTATCACAGGTGGGGAATGGCCAAATTCCAGAAGATCTTAATGAAGAGCTGTTTACAAATTAACCCAGTAGCAAAGAATTTCCAACATTTCACTGTTTAGGATTAGTAGAATTGTGAATAAGTGAATATGTTAACAGTCTTAACTTTCTGGACTATTTACCTCTGTTCCAGCCTTGCTGCAGCCTAATTTAGTAGTCCTGGAACTACTTGCAACTGCCATTTCTGTCCAGACCCTCTGCTTCTTGCATTTGTTAGTCTGGGTCACAGTGACTTAGTTACTTCTTCCACTGTGAATGAGCACTGATGAAAAATACCAGAGAGAGGCAATGGTGCAGGGAGATGGAATTGAGTTGCTTAAGAGACAGACCTTAGATGAAATATAGCCAAAGCAAGGAATGAGTGGAAGCACAGCTGGGCAGGAAAAATCCTTCTACAATATGGTCTGTAACAGAAGACCAATAGTCTAGAAAACGCTCTCTAAAAGGGAGAAAGCCATATCATCATATCACCTTAGATTCTCTATAACAATCTAAGGTGGACATGGCAGTATTTAATTAGGATCCATTGATATGAACAACTTGAAATTCTTTGTAAAATGTTTTCTATATGGGCATATGAATATTTTTCTGAGGAGAAGATCTTTAACTTTCATGAGATTCTCAAAGGAATCTTAGTCTGTAAAAAAGATAAGCCCATGTGATCTAAATGTCTCCATATATGCTTGAATAAATTACGAAATATCCAGTAAGAGATCCCTTTGAATAATTACACTTAAGGTCAACATCCATTCCATTTTTGTTATAATATCTTCAGTATGGTATCAAGAGTTGGATAGAAGTGATGACAAATTTTGATACCTCAGACATCAACATTCTAAAGGTCCATGGCTTAATAGGATATACATTGTAAAGTTACAATTAAAATTTGCTTTTATTTGTCTGTGTATAATATTTATTTTAATCTGAATAGCAGTTTCCAAATTTCAAAATAAAATACAAATTAATTCTCATTTTACTCTCAAATAATATGGAAATGTATGCAAAACTTGTATTATTTTCCCTATTTGTGGATAAGTAAATTGAGACAGTTTAAGAAACTAGTTAAAGGCCACCCAGACACAAAGTGACAAAACCGTGACTTGACCGTGGATATATGTCATGTTCTTTCATCTGTATTACACGAGGTCTACTTCTTAGTAATACATAACACTCTTACATAAATAAACTCATTTGATTAATTCCCTTTTCATATATACAGCATTTCATTCACTTGGACATTTTTTTAAATGGTAAAAAGATCCGTATCAGTAAGGAATGTTGAAATTCTAAAAATCATGCCAACATAGAAATCAGCCAGGAGGAGAAACTGACAATAGCACTTTAAAATTATTACAGTTCTAAAATAAATAATGTTTAAGGTAAGAGGGAAAATTAGATATTCCTATAAATCATATTGATGATTTCAGCATTAATAAAAAAATGTGGCCCTGTTACTTGATAGTTTTGTTTGCTTAATTCTACCCATTTATCCATTCTTAGTGTTTTCACTTGAGCTTAAACATAATTAATCTGCTCTTTCCTTCACTATGTGGCATGCTCCTAGTCTGACAAAAGTTTAAGCCACTAAATATCAAGTACAGTACTTTGAACAGATTAAAAACATATGCCATCTGTATGCAAGTTCATATTATTAACATTGTTGATGGGGTTGAAATTGAGGGGGGGAAATCTTGTTTATCATTATATTTTCTTCCAGAGTAAGAGTTAAAAAATTAACTAACAGTGACAAGACGGGTGAGTTCATCTGAATATAACAGGAGTATTTGGTGAGATGAAGACCAGAGGACCAAAGGGAGGTGTGGGAGGGCCAGAGGCAGCAGGGGTACCTCTGCTCCCTTCCACGTAAAGTGCGGGCCTTCCACAGGGCTGCTACCATTTCTCTCCAGAAATCCTGCAGACCTTTTCTGTCCACCTAATTTAACTCACCATGCTTTCTCTAAGGTCCTCAAATGATGTACCTGCCTACTGTCTTCACAGATACCTGGCCAAATCCAAATGCTTCATGTCATCCTAAGCATTCCTCAATTTCCTTTTTGTGCTTAAAAACTATTTTAGCATTTCTCTGGATTTCATTTCTTCCAGAACTCTACCATAAATGACTTTCTGCAAAGGAAAACACAAAGATGCCTTTATTTCTGCCAAACTGAATTATGATTTAATTTAATTTAAACTGAATTGAGGTAGAGAGATGCCTTAATTTACTTTGAAGGCATGGAGATGTTGATGTTATGGGGATGCTCTGCCATGAAGCCTTTGGCATATCTCTAATCCAGGGCCTTGGGTTATGGGAATTGTAAATCCAACCCAATTCAATCTCCCAACCTAAAGGAGAAAGAAACTCTAAATTAGGTTGGCTTTATCCTAACCTAAAAGAAGTTGATGCATAATTTCGTTTTCCTGTGTTTGTAGCCTGGCAGCCATGACATTCAGAATAATTACTTCTCCTTATATTTTAAAGTCCAAGGAAATTCCTAAAAAAGCCAGTGTGGGTTGGGGTAGGGATGTGTATATGTGCATGCAGACCCACAGCTATGTTTGGATATATCATATGTTTTAAACGTGTTTTTGAAAAAATATTTTAAAGTCTTCCATCAGCAAAAGCTATTACTTTCTTTTTAAATTATGACATGTGTTACACATATGTACTGTGAGGGTTACGGCATGTGAATTACTTGTACAGGAAATAATATTCTGAGAAGAAAATCAGATAACACATATTTGCATCAGATTAGGATCTGACACTACTGTACGTTTATAAATCCAAGGATCATTACTACCGTATGAGCATGAATGAATCATCACTCTGGTTAATAGCACAGTTGAGGTTTGAGATGCCTTTTAAAAAAAATACATGTATATAAATAGATTAGCTCCCTCTAGAGCTCCTTGAGTTAAAATTTCAGATTAAGTTGTTTCAAAGGCTTGAAAAGTATAAAATGCTGGTACCTTTTCACAC